ATGGTACAGATTATAGACTTTACCTTTGAAATTCTTAAAAACCTCAATGAGGTGCTGACACTCCTCGATTATTTTATCTTCACAAGCCTTTTTGCCCATTCCAAAGTCCCTTAGGTTTGTCAAAGCAAAGCGTCGCATTTCTCTCCAAGAGTCCCCGTTTGCCCATAAAACCCCTAGAACAAAATAAGAAATAGCATTTGACTTAGATTCCAATAAACAGATTACACTCTAAGTTACAGCAAGCTTTCCTCACCGTGCCCTTTGTTGAATTCATTAAAAAGTGGAAAGGTTTGCCGTTCTCCAAACTCCTCACCAGGCTGAACAAGAGCCTCCTTGACTGTTTTGTATCCCGCCAGAACCACCACTTTTTGTGGTCCAAGATAGACAGTGAAGACGGAACCAAACTCCTTGGATAACTAACAATACAAACATGAATAATGTTTCAATCATTGAAAAAACAATTACAGAATCAAAATGAGGAATATAATGGTGCTTTCCTTTGGACTTAAAACTCTTTAAGTACGAGAGCCCCTGAAGTCCAGATTCTGAGAAATGTTGAAATAAGGCAATATCCCCGAGTATACGTCAACTCGTGGCTTCGTTTGGATTCACCCGTTTTATGGTGGAAGTTTAGAATTGTGAGATTTGCAGAGAAAGGAGGGGTTTGAACTTCTCTGTACATCCATTTCACCCATTGAACTATTGTTATTCATCTATGACAATGTTAACTCGGTTTTGCATTCTATGATCCCTTTAAGGTCAAATAGAAAGGAGTGCTTCCATCTTCCAGGTCCCTGAGTAAAGCTCTAGAATCAGCTCACGCAGTCCACTGGATCTTTCGATAAAGCTCAGCAGACCGTCTTGCCAACCAGCAGTCTACAGACTGACCAACTTCATCTATCTCCAATCCACCACCAGTTTCAGGCCTTGGAGGAAACAAACCTGTTCTTTACTCCTGTTCATGCCAATCAAAATTCAGCGCTATGTTTTCTGCCGAGGTCTGAGCGCAAAAGACTAAGTAATTGTATCAATAAATTTCTTCTAGTTGTCTTTTCTCTCCGTGTGAGTTTTTAGATCGAACTGCGAAACAAACAAATCTGCTTGAGTGCTTTGATGGATATGCATTGCTCTGTTATTCTGAACCACTGCTGCTCCCCAAATGTTTAGATTTCTGGTATCCACCGTTTGAGGTGTAAACCGACCAGTTTTTGAAACTGTTCTGATGTTTTCTCTGTTTACATCTCATCACCACACCCTTTACTGAGATCACAACTAGGGCTGGGCATTAAAAGGCATCTGCTGTGTCATATAACAAAATGCAATTTTCCCATCGCTGGGGCACTCAGTTTTGGTCACATTACATTTAAAAAGAGAAGGACACGGACATATTAACTGCAGCTGGTATTAATAAACTTAAAGTGGGTTTGCCTCAACACTGAAGGGAAGAGTTGTAAATATCATGTGGATTGTGCATCCATGCATACGTGTACAAATAAAGAACATTAATGGAAATTTTCATTTAAAATACTGAATATCATTTGACCTTCTTACCTCCAGTAAAGATTTATATAGTCTGCTGAGGTCAAGTTGCAGAAGGTTTCCAATCACAGGAAGGGGTCTTGGTCCCGGTGGATCCTTTCCATGTTTTTCAGGGCTAAACCTGGAGGATGAAATTAAATACACCAACAGAAGTACTAGAAGAGCCACCAACAAAGTGGCTGAGTGGGACTGGAGCAAAACATCCAGAATCCCCATGACTTTGACAAGTATCTAGATGTACTAGTTCTGAGAGTGAAAGTGACTGAGCGGTTCAAAAGAAACCAGACAGTTTAAATAGCAGAGAATCAGCCCAGCCCAGTTCAGCTGAACAAATAGAATTACATTAAAGAAAGTAAATGATTAATTTAAAACCGGTACTGTACTGTGTCAAAGTTGATTCCTGATTTCACAATTCTTTATGAGTCAACCACATATATACTGACCTTTTTCACACTGATTGTTTTGGTGAACTGCCAGGAAGCCACTCCCCTCTGCCGATCCCCTCTGCTTCTAGTTTCTGCTCTGCCTGCTGGAGATGGGAACCAGTTGGACTTAATCTCATTCAATTAAAGAGTGTACTTTTGGTGTGGCTGACCTCTCACTCTTGTTTGAGGAAGCAGCACAGCATGCAAGCCAAACAGTTATGGTAGAACATGCAAAGTGCAAACTGTGCAAAAGGTTACTAAGAAGAACTATGAAGGACAGCCGGTAAGCTGATTACAGCTGCTTATTCACATGGACTGACTCTGATTATCTGGTTGATTGTTTGATATTATTAAAAGGAAAAAAAATAATTATATATATATATATATATATATATATATATAA